TGGGGATGGGGATGGGGATGGGGATGGGGATGGGGATGGGGATGGGGTCGGGGCCGGGGATGGGAATGGAACCGGGCACTGGGGACCCCGGGACGGGGTTGGGGCCGGAGGCCGGGGATGGATTCGGGCCTGGGGACCGGCTGACCAGCTTCCCGGGACCCGGGACCAGCGACGGGGACGGTGTGGAGCCGGAGCCGGTGCCGGCTGCGATGACCTGCTTGCCGGGGCCGGGCCGGGCCGGGCCGGCTTGGCTCGGCTCGGCTCGCTTCGCCCGACGGCGTTGTCTCCGAGCGCGGGCTATCACTTTTCTGAAAACAGTGCTTTTTGATATGAACGTATTCACCGGCACCCCTGGCTTTTGGTTCTAGCTTCCTTCCAATCTCTTTTTCATTTCCTTTCTTTTGCCAGTGTGGAAATAATGCCATTTATTTTCATACCCTTCTCCCCTTCGCCGTTTAGAAAACAGTGAAAGCTTTGGTAGTAGGTTTTTCCCACCAGCCATCTTATGAATTTTTCCCTGGGAGTAAAGAGCTCGTGCTCCCGTTCTCTCCAGGTGGAACTTGTTGGATTGAACAAGGCTCGTGAACAGTGCGTGAGCCGGCCAGCAAAAGCAGAAAATTTAATTTGCAGCGTCAGGAGCACAGTGGAGACAGTGAAATCTCATGTGTTTTCCCTTGATCTGGCGATCTTTGGGAACTTCGGCGTCCTGGCTATTTTTATGTTATCTGATTTTTAAAGTTTTATGTGCTTTCGAACTGATAACCTAAAGTTGAAATATTGAATCCCTATTCATAAATTTCTCAGCCTGTGTTTTACAAAGTTTAATTTATTTCCTTTCTGTTTGATTTGTGTGTGAGAGAGAGATGAAGAGTTAAGATTTTTTTCCCCCAATTTTCTTTGCGTGGCCATTTTCACTCAGCTTTCTGCTTCCGTTGATCTCCCAGCCTGGCTATTTTTATCTATAAAATGAAACGAGAATAAAGAGAGGTTGATAATGTGTTTTTCACCCCCCAAACAATTTCTTTCTTTCTTTCTTTTTTTAAATTTCAGACAGCTGATAGTGATTTTGGAACTCTATAATCCCAATGCTGTTTATGATTATTTCGTGCATATTGCCTTAAAGTTGTGTGCAGATAAAGTTTCTGAAGTTCGGTGGATCTCCTTCAAGCTAGTAAGGAATCATGACCTTTTCTGTTTATGATTTTTAGAAAAAGGAATATTTATGTTTCTTCCATTTTAACTTCTTTATTTTTTCTGGGCTTAATTTGTCCATTTACCCATGAAAGCAGCTTTTAAGTTTTGAAATTAGGAACTGTATTATAGTTTTATCAGTATGTAAGATAGCTCTTTTGTTAAGCAGTATACTTGAGTGATGAAAATTGTGGATACATCGCCTTATGTATGAAACCCTTTAAACAATGGCTGAGTGTTTCTTTTCAACACAGATTGGGTTGACTCTCCAGCACGGTTTTGTAGAAAAGTAGTTAGTGAGCAAAAACTCCAGCAAAGAAAAGCCGAACCTGTTTTATGTGGGCTTGTACCAGCTGAATACTGAGGAAAAAAATTCTCATTTGAAAATATTTACTAAGGTACTCTGATGGCGCTAAAATTTCATAAAAATGACATGTTCTGAAAGGTAATGATTTAGTTGTTATGCAAGGGGACATTTTCTAAACTTTGGAATCTTAAGAATAATGTATTTTTCTAATGCCAGTCCCTTATTACATTTCATTTTATGAAGGGTTTTATGGGTGTGAGTGTGTGTGTGTGTGTATCACCATATATTTAAACATCTTTTTTCCTCTGTGTTCTAATGATCACTGTAACAAAAATGACTTTCTCGCGTGCTTATAAATTCGTCTTAAAGGTGGAAGGGTGCATCAAAATGTCTAGTTTCCGTGTAGAGTCGTAGTCATAATCCAAGTAGATGGCAGCATTCTAAATTCGCTCTTCTAATATTTTTCACAGGTTGTAGCAATTCTGCAGAAGTTCTATTCCAACAGTGAAAGTGCGTTGGGGTTAAATTTCATCAATGAACTCATCCTAAGGTTCCGGCACTGTTCTAAGTGGGTCGGAAGGCAAGCGTTTGCTTTCATTTGTCAGGTTAGCAGGGCCTGGGGGGAGCATCTACCCTGACATATGTTTGCCGTGTGATATCAACACACAGCACCAGGCAAAGAATCTCAGCCCCGGAGGACTAGCCAGGAACCTGGGGAGCAGCGGACCGAACCCCCTTATCTCACAGGAGATTGTGACAAGCCAGTTTGGAAAAGGGACTTGCCCAGGGTTACCCAGCCCTTCTGTGCAGTCATCCTATGCATAGTGACTGAGCACCTACTGTGTGCCAGGCCTGCTCTAGATGCTGGGGACGGAAGAGGAACAACCCCCTGCTCGCCGGCACTTTCCATCCAGGGAGGTGGGGGCCAGGCCCAGACCATGCTCCCGTCATGTCCAGCGCAGGGCTGCTCCTCACTGCGCCCGCCGCAGTAGGGAGGGAGGAAGGTGGGGTGAGGGGCACAGCAGTGGGGCAGCTCGGGGACCTTTCGTCTCTTTCAGGTGAAGGTCAACCCCTCAGATCGCCCTCTCTACTTAGCATCTTGGAAGTGAGGGCATGATTTATGTCTGGCTGGGGAGGACGGCTGTCATTTTGGATCGCCTCCGTGTGCCGGGCATCTCGTCCTACACCTGCTCCTAACAGTAAGGTCTGCCAGGTGTTGAGCTCAGTGCACCCATGTACTTTTAGACCAGTTGTTCTAGCTGAAGGAGTTGGAGCCCAGAGAGGTTAGGTAACTTGCTCAGGGTCACCCAGGAAGTGTAAAGCCATGATTTTCTTTCTGCTGAACTGTTATTTTAACAGTTTTAACTTCTTCTCATGCACACGGTCTATCATATACAAAGGTGGAGGGAACAGTAGAATGAACCTGCACGTACTTGTCACCCGGCTTTGTCAGTAATACAGTAAATTACTGTATTGTGATGGGGCTCTACCTGAGCCCTGGCCCCGCAGCAGCCCCCTTTCCCTCCCCCGGAACCACCCGGCCTCCCTACTGAGGAACTCACCAGGGCCCCCTGTAGGCCCGCAGGGGTATCACAGGGGTACTTTGGCCATCTACTTGCAGAAGGGCAGTAGGGGGCAGGGTCAGTGCCAAAGTCACAAAGCACAGGCCTGATACCACAGACTTTCATGAAGAAGTCAGTGCTGCCCACTATTTTGTAGAGAAAGGGTAAATGAGATATTTTTGCTTTTATTTTTAAATTCTTTTTCTGAGATTTAGACGATCCGCGATGAAACAGAAGGAAAAGGCACCAACTAATTTTGTTCGAGAAAAATCAGTTTTTTGGTGTGCCTTCATTAAAGCTTTAGAAAACCTACAATACCACAAACAAAAGGAAAGTGTCCTCAGCCAGGAGAACCTCCCAGTGGGCACATGGATCCCTGTTCAAATGCAGGGAGGCGTCGCAACCTGGAGATTGGGGGGCCGACTCTGTTACTTTGAAGCCTGGGTCTACTACTTCCCTGCTGGGTGGCCTTGGGCGAAGCACCCTCTCTGCCCGGCCTTTCCGTGTTCTGTAAGATGGAGTTCCCGGGGTACGGGCCTGCCTCCTGGTGTGGCCCTGAGGCTTCAGTGAGCTGACGCATCCGAGTAGCCAAGCACGGTGCCGGGAACCCGGAGAGCACTTACTACGTATCAGCTGCTGTTGTTACCCGGTAGTGGGAAGAGCTGCAGGACTTAGAATCCACATTCCTTCCTTGGAATCTCCACCTGCTGCTGCCTGTGGGTCTTGAGCCTTTGGGTGTCACCACAACATCGGACTCACCTGTAAAACTAGGCTCAGTCTGATTTCCATGGCCGGCTATGAGAACGAAATGGGAGAATCCACGTACGACTCTTTGTAAGTAGAGCAGCAGTAAATGCTAGCTGTTCACAGAGGGCCGGGCACTGAATTGGGGTCTGGGATTTGGCTGTCATGTGATAGGCGTGGTCCCTGTCCTCAAAGCCTGAGCTCTGGTGAGTAACAGGCGTGAAGGTTCCCAACCCTTGTTGGCGGGCGCTACGCTAGCCTTTGCAAAAATGGTTTGCCATCCCCGTTGCTACTCCATGGTACAGGTGAGGAAACCGAGGCCCGGAAAGGTGAAGCCAGTTACTCATGGCCACGAAGCTAGAAGTGACCAGGTTAGGTTTTGAACCTGCACCTGTCTGACTCCAAAGCCTTTGACTTCCCCACCGAATATCACACCACTTGTACCCCAGTGCTTGGTAATGAATTATAAAAGTGTTAACTGTGTTTCTAACCAAATTCGGTGGTTGAGATTTTAAAATTCAGACACACACACACACACACACACACACACACACACACACACACTCCTCAGACCAAAAGATCCTGAAATTACTTCTTTGGAATTACAGAAGTGGATGTTTCTAGAAAAACCGTGCTCATCACTATTGAAAAAGGTCTGTTTTCCGGCTCTGGCTTTCTCTTCATCACAGGCAGTGGTGAGCGAGGAGTGTACCCCTGTGGACCAGTTTGTTGAACACTTACTCCCCAGCCTTGTAAGCCTTGCATCAGATCCTGTGCCAAACGTAAGGGTTTTGCTAGCCAAAGCTCTAAAACAGACACTGTTGGAAAAGGGTACGCGGACCATTTTTCTGAGCTTACAGATTTTAAACTTCATCAGGCAGCAGCCAGATCTCCTCTTTAGGGAGTTGTGGCAAATTGTGTGGTAGCGTACTTCAGATCTACTATATAAATTTATATGTTAATTTTTTTGCATACGTTATGTTATTTATAAAATGACTAAGAATTAAGATAGCTCAGTTTTCTATTTAATAAACATACTGAAATGCAAAATATTACATAGTCTTCTAGAAATGAGGGAAACTTTTATAAACTTTAAGTTATGACAGAGACAGATTATGAAAGGTAGTCAATTTAAGCATTATCTATGGTCAGTTTTTAATCGTATTAATTTTGTGGTCAGTCAGAAAAAGTTTATACCCCAACCTAGTCAGTTATTTTAAACCTGAACAGGACTTAATATAAGACTGTGTCCCTTGTATAGTTCACGTCTACACCACATATTCGGGAGAACATCTCATCTCCTGCCCTGCGTAGCCCTTTGTTGCCACTTCCCTCCCATCCTCCACCCCATCTGTCCAGCAACCTGCTCCCCACTGCCTGTGTTCTGTGTTGCTAATTCTTTTGTACTGGAGGGAGGAAAAGATAATATTAAAAGATTTTTAGTTATAGCTGAAAAAATATGCATGCCTATTCTTAGAAGTTTGTCTTTAAAATTTAGGAAATACTCTTTGATTCAAGCAATTTTATCATTTTAAAGGACTTACTCTATGAAAAATGGTTTATTGTCCTGAGATGTGGTTTAAAAAAAAAAACCAAACCAGAGTATGTTTTTGAACACAGTTCACGGCACATGTGATTCAATTTCATGTCTTTTTCTCTTTAGTGTATTTTAGAAATGCCGGTAACCCTCATCTTGAAGTCGTTGAAGAGACTGTCTTAGCTTTGCAGTCCGACGGGAACCAAGATGTTTCCTTTTCTGCCACCCTAGAACCAAAGCGGCGGAATAGTATAGACACTACCATGCTAGAAAACCAGAATTAACCAGTCTGTGGTCACTCACAATCTGGTCATTTCATGTGTGGCATATGCTGCTCACCATACCTTGAAGGGGAACTGATTGTATCATACCTGCCCAGGGAGGACAGATTTCTGAAACTCTGATGTTGTTGTGTTCAAATGACCCCTTTCCCATCTGCACTCACGGGAACTACTGCTGGGATGGGCAGGAGTCCCAGGTGGCCCGGCCTGTGCTGCGCTCCTGTGCCCCTGCCTGCCTGATCAGGAAATCTGTTAAAAGGCTGCAGAACCAGGTGGCTCACTGAGGGTGGCGGGGGGGGGGGGGACCTCCATGGCATCAGACTGCCTGGGAGCGGTTTGTTTTCTCGATTACAGACTATATTATTTAACCCCCAGCCAACCCCTCCCCCCCAGAAATAAAGTACGTTATTAGAAGCTTTTGAGTCTTTGATAGACTTGTATATTTTGGCTTCCCTCATGCTTTCCTATAAAATATAGTTTATGGCATTATTTTTAACTGAAATACTGTACATATGTAAATAACTCTTGACAGGAAGAAGATATATTAATGTAAGATTAGCTTCCTATCAGTGAACAGAACAAATACATCATTTAAATTTATGCTCCACTTTGAGCTTTGCACTTTGGGCTGCAAATATAGCCCAATTTGTTTACTGTTGAAAAATGTGATAGTTAAAGAAATCTGCTAAGGGCTGATTCACGGCAGCCTTTCTAACGTTGTGCGTTTGTTGTAAACTGTACTCGGAACTTTTCCTCAAGCACTCACTCCCTCCTCTTCTTGCAGGAACTGTTTCCGTAAAGATAGGTACTGGCCTTTGATAGAGGCATAGAGCAGAAAGATTTTCATTCTTATATGGCTATATTATCATTTGTTTAAGAACTTGGGGGTGGGGGGAAATTGATCACTGAGGTGCATGGATATTGACTTTATATCTGATGCTTTAGAATCTTAACAAAAAATAGGAAGTCATAGTTCTGATCACTCTATATAGTTGGCCACAAATACCAGTGATTTGGGAGGTTAAATTATGATACTCTTCAAATCTAAGTACACAGGACTTAGATTTCGTGCTTTTAAAATTTAGACTAAGGGAAAGATACTCTAGAATTTAAACAGGTTTTGCATTAGTTAATAACTCAAGGCTCTATAAACAGTTGATTAAATTCTGCATACATGTATGCTGAAGTTATTTTTCTTGTTTCTATTTGTATCTTCTCAAAGGCAAGCATAAGGGAAGGAAAGAGCAGCCCCTTTGGGGTCCCAGAGCTATAGCTGCAAAGGGCGCGCCAGCTGTCTCCATTCTTCCCTTGGATCTTTTTCTTATCTTTCTTTTCTTTTTTTTAAAAGATAAAATTTCTGGAGCTATATATTGAATTTCCTGGTATACAGGATGTTTTCCCCTCCCCCAAATTCCACTGGGCTGACTCTTTAAAAAGAAAGGAAGGAATCTATACCGTGCCAAAGAAAATAAGGCACATGTATGAGAATTTCACATTGCAACCCAGGATAGCATTTTGACAACTTCAGCAAAGAGTGACGTTAATACATTGGAGACTACATAATGAGACACAAAAAAATCAGTCTATCTTGTATTTAGTACTTGTCTAAAGTAAATAGACGGAGGTATTGTTTTGCTTCAGCAGCAAGCAATTTTTAATTTATTTTTATTGCCTAGAAATTGAGCTTATCATGTTAAAATCTGTTGATCTAGCAGCAAGTAGAATTACCCAACTGGAATCTTGTATTCTGTGCAGAGCTTCACTTTCCATTAAGGAAAAGACAAATCAGTTGGTGGTGTGATGTGTAGGACTTGCCTCCTGAATCAGATGTGCTGGTAGAGATTTGTTGAGACTCTTTGGTAAATAATCTAACCTTTAAATTTTCAGTTTATGTGTTAAAATTCCTCTATAATCTAATATGAACGCCTTTCCAGTGGAAAGCTATTTTTATGACTAACTTCTCTGCAGAAAGTATGTTGAAAGCTTGCATTTTATTCTTCGTTGGTAACAACTGAGATTTTCCCAAGCTTGTTCTGGTTGCCCTTGCTGTTCTCTCCTGTAGCTTCTCCACCAGTTTAGGTCTTCGCGTATTAACTGTTCTTAGGTGCAGTGTTGAGTGTCTGTGATTTGACCACTGAAGGTAAGCTTCCTGTTTTCTTGAGCACTCGGCCTCCTCCGGTGAATTAATGGAAAAGCACGAGATAGTTTCTCACAGGTACAGCTGCCTTGAAAGGCATCTCAACAATAGAACCATCTCAGCTTTTCCCCAAGTGGACATTTCCTCCTTGCTAAGTGTTTTCATTAGCGCCTTTCTCACTTCAAGAATTCGAGAACGTTTTCAACATGGACGGATTTTGATGTAGCTTTGCAAATTTTCAGGAAGGTCTGTCTCCCACTTCCGGAGTGGCCAAGTATCAGGTTTTTTCACTGTCAAGTTGGGCCCAGATCGGCTTGAAAGGGGTCATACTTCTGCCATGTTGGTTTTTTCCTTCATGCTAAGAAATAACGATTTTTAAGCATGGCTAAAGCCTGCACTTTACCACCCTCTGTAGACGACGCATGCAAAGATGATTTAGAGCATTATTCACGCATAATTCCTACAGGTAGTTGGCCCCGAATTGTGCAATGATTGTATTTTAAACAGACATGGAGAGGAGGTCACAGTTGCCTAACAACGGCCACGAGCCGCCTCGTCTTCCGAGTTCAAGGAACTGACGGTGAGAGCAGTTCGGAAGCGGCGAGGAGGAGTCGGGGATGCGGCCGTGCTGGGTCTGCGGGGCGCGCGGCCTCCGCGAGGCCTCTGGTTGGGTCTCAATGCATCCTCCCAGTATTCTGGAAGCGCCCGGGCCCTTTTCCCCTTATCGCAGACACGTCACCCGCGTCCACGTGGAGCCCCGCCTTGGTTAACGGCGGGCCCGTCGGCCCACTGCGGGCGCTGGTGGTTCGGCCGTCCCGGAGGGGCCGCCGCGGCGGGGGTGGCGATGACGCGCGGCGGCGGAGGCGGCCAGGCCGTCGAGGGGGCGCCCTTCGCCCAGACCCCGATGCGGGCGGGCCGGACGGGCGGGGGGCGGGCTCTGGCATTCCGCGGCCCCTCCCCGCGCAGCCCCGCGCCCGAGGCCGGAGCCGCGTCGGGGACCCGCAGGCTGTGAGCCTGGCGCTCGACTTGGCCTCAGACGTCTTCGTCATGCAGGTGCTGCTGGAGGATTCCGGGGAGGTGTTCCGAGTGACAGGCTGCCGCAGCGACATGACGGTGCGGGAGCTCAAGGAGGAGCTGGACCTAATAGCCGGCATCCCCTTCAGCCTCCAGCGGCTCCAGTATCTGGACCAAGGCAGCCCCTGCCCGACCCCTTTCCCGGCCCCACGTACTCCCTCGACCCGGGGCGCCCAGTCCCCTCTGAACCCGCAGTGGGGGAAGGGAAGCCCGCCCAGAGGAGGACCCCCAGATGTCAAAACAAACCCCACCCCCGTGAAACCCCGGGTGGAAAAGCTAACCCTGGACACATAGGGATTTCCCAGCTCCAGAAAAGCCGAGCTTCACGTTAGACCTCAAATCTCCAGGCAGACCCTGTCCACAGCAAGACCCTAATCCGCAAGCAGACCCTGCCTGCGCTGGGACTCCAGGCCCAAAGCCCGCCGTCTAGTGTGGCCTGCCAACCTGAGCCCAGCCCTGTGCACGTCAGGACCCCAAGTCCTGAAACAGACGCTGCCGCCGCAGGGCCCTCCAACACCAGAACCTCAGATTCCCACGTCTTCATCAGGGACCCAAGTCCCAAAGCCAGCAGTGCCACACGAGACCTCCAGTCTGAAACGCCTGTCCTCAGCGGGACCTCACAACCTCGGGCAAGGCTGCTCATGTCAGGACCCAGATGGAATTAAACGTCAAGTCCCTGTGCTGGGCTGTAGGACACCAGGACCCCCAGCCCTCCAGCCAGCCACGTCTGTGCAAGGACCCCAAGTCCAGAACAAACCTGCCCAAGACTGAACCCCCAATCCCCAGGCTAACCATGTGACCATCCGAACCCCAAGTCCTCCCAGCAACCGTGTAGACTCAAGGACACTAAAGCCTTAAGCAAACTCTGCCCTCCTCAGGACCCCATGTCTCTCCACGAACCATATGCACGTTTGAACCTCAGATACAATCCTCAGGTGACCCCGGCTCACGACAGAAACCTAAGTCCCAGAGCGTGAAGCCTACTACCCAGATCATGACCCTAGACCCCAGAGCAGGTACATCCAATTCTTAGCCCCACTCTCTGCTTAACCAGTTGTGCACCTGAACCCCAATCCATCAGCCATCTCTGTCTACGTAAGGATGCCGGGGCTCAAAGTGAACTCCTCCCACATCTGGACCCCCAAATTCAAAGTTAACTCTGCCCACACCTGAAAGCTAGTTCCCAAGCTCACAATGACGACAGAAGAACCCGAAGCCAGGTGTCATCCGAAGGGCTCCAAGACATGAGATAAACTGCCCACACTAGGACCCCAAACTCAAGTCCAGTCTACCCATATCTGAACCTCCAACCTCCACAGAAACCACGTCCACACCGGCACTCCAAGGTGTAAGCCAGCCGTGTCTGTGTAAGGAAGCCAAAGTTCCAAACGAGCCTGGCCTACACGAGGGCCCCCAAACTCAAAGCAAACTCTGCTTGTAGTTGAAAACCCAAATCCCTTATCAACCTGATCCACACCAGAACCCCCAGCGCTAGACCAAACCCACCTATATCAGGACTCCAGATCTCGGAGCCGAACCTGTCACTGTCAAGACCCCCGAATCCTGGGGCAGACCTGTCTGCTTCCTCACCCCCGGTTGCAACACTACCCAGGCCTACATCAGACCCCCAAATCCCCAAACAAGTCCTGCCCGCAGAAGGACTCTGCATCCCAGAACAGACCCTTCCCATACCAGGACTCCCAGACAGAAAGCAAACCTTACCTTCATCAGAACCCCAATCCAGAGCAAACTCTGCCCTCATTGGGACCCCAAATCTCAAAACAAACCCTGTCCACGTTTGAACCCCGAATACTGGCACTGACCCAGTCCGTATCAGAACCTCGAATCTCAAGCTGCGCCCTTGTGACGTCAGGAGCTCAAAGCTCGCCCAATCGGAGTCGAAACCCAGTGCCCAAAGCTCACTGTGACTGAATCAGGACCCCAAGGCCCCCTGTCCAGACAGATCCCATGGGGGAGGCACCCCGTGGCGGGCAAGGGCCCTAGAGCCCCATCTCTCCCTCCATCGGTCTCCTTCCCTCGGCCTGAGGACCTGGCTGTCCCGATCCGATCCCTACAGTATTTAGCATATGAGAACAGGATCAAAGTCCCCAGGTTCCAACATCTCCCCACCCAGTTGAAATCAATGCAAAAACACTTCAAGAAAAATGAAGATATAAAAAACTCTCTGGTCTGCTGCACAGAGAAAGTGAACGGCCAATATTGCAGAGAGATTGCAGTTATACTGCAGGGACCGGGAAGCCATGGAGACAGAGCTCTGAAAGCAGCTGGTCTCCATGAGAATCGTGTTCCCAGGCCCTGCGCTTCCGGGGCTCAGTTTCCTAATCTGTAAAGCAGAGCCCTGTGAGCTCTAGGATTCTCAGTGCCGTGTCCCCCTTTAGGCAGAAGTGACTCGGGAGACTCAGAAGGTATATTGAAGGCCCAAATCCTTTCCTTTGCCCTCTTGGAAATTGGTTAAGCATTTTTCACGATATGTTTGCTTTGCTATAGGGGTATTTGGAAGAGCTTTGGAGCATTTTTGAGGCTTTATCTGGAAAGAGATGTACCTGTGCTTAATGTGTTAAAAGTGAAGTGAGCTGTGGAAGAACTTAGTAAGAGTTCCAAAACAAGTAATTCGAAAATTACGTGTCCTGAACTACGGGTGTCCGGCACCCCTAATTTATTTTTGCCGATGAGCTATGCTGAGCCATAAATTCAAGAAAGCTAAGAGGGAATGAAAGGGATGGAGTGGCTTAACACTGATGTCACAATCCTATCACTCAGCAAGCACTTAGCAACTGTGAGAAGCCTGACCTCTCTCAAGCTCGGTTGCCGTCCTTCCTGTTGACGGCAAACGAGAAGGAGAGAAGGTACAGCACGTCAGTAGAAGAAATTTGGGCTTCTGCTGATGCATAACCAGCCTGATGCCTCTTTACCCACCTCAGAGGTTGCCAGGGAGGATCAAATGAGATAATGAGTGTGAAAACCCTGAGAGACACAAGTCTAAAGGGGGTGAACATCTTCCTGGAGGCGGGTCACCTTTCCACATCTGTTGTCAACTCTAATAATTTATTTAGCCGGTGGTAATGAGTATTTGTCTAAGGTGAAGGCGGTTGCTGCCTGCCTGTAAAAGGAGAATGTGCTCTGATTTCTCTAAGAGCTGTTTAGCATGTGTGCACCGTGCTCTTGTGTTTCTCAGGGAAACACAGCCTTGCTCCATTTTTTTCAAAGTTGTTAGGAAGTCTTCGAGTTGTCTTACTTAGGCAAATGACTGATTATTCTCTGTGTCAGAACCACAAATAAGACCCTAATTAACAGATTTGCTAATCACTATTCCGCGTTTACATCCACCATCTGGAGTTGCTGGGGACTAAAAGGTACCAGCAAAATCTAGAGTGAGCATCACATGGCGGCCGAGGAAAGGCAGGTCTGGAGTCCCAGCGTTGCCGTTCGCTGGCCGTGCGAGCCTCCGTCCGCTCCTGCAGCACATGGAGAGGACGAACTTGGCTCGTCGTGAGGTTTAGAGCATGTGGGTGCTGGGTAATGGCACTTAGAAATCACTCAATCATGAAACCAAAAAACTCATGAATTCTACTCGGAATAAATGATAATCCAACCTGGGCAGAGTTGAGAGGTTCCATTCTTGGCACTGCTTATTGGAGATAACAAATGACTCTGTTATCCTTCATCTAGGTTACAGGTGGCCATGAAGGAAGAAGTGTGTGTCTTTTAAAAAGTAAACTAAAAACAACTGCATTTTTCTTAAAATTTTCCACAATCCTCTTCTACTAATTCTGACGGTCTGCCCCAAAGGGTCTGAATTTAGGAAGTGTGAGTGGATCCACCCCCCGACCCCCATTCTTTCATATGAGGAAGGGGCTGTTTGGGGAGAACCTCCCCAACAGAGAAAGGATCTCTTCCATCCCACGTCACTGAGACGCTTATGTTACCATAGGGTCTCCACTGGGGCAATTTTGTCCCCCAGGGGCCATTAGGCAACATCTAGAGACATTTCAGTGGTCACAATTAGGTGAGTGGGCTACTGCCATCTTGTGGGTAGAAGCCTGGGATGCTGCTAGACGCCCTGCAATGCCCAGGACAGACCCCACAGCAGAGGGGCATCTGGCCCCAAATGTCAGGAGTGCCAAGGTTGAGAAACGCTGCCACAGACTACCATTTGAAAGATCCGACAAATTTTTGTCATTATTACCTCTTTAAGCAAACTGATGATAACATTAACCAGAATTAGTTAGTATCTTAGTTTAACATCTATAACTTATATAACCGCATTGCACCACATCTGTAATACACAGTTACTTCAAGTTCAAGTAGCTCTACTTAGGGTTTGCCTCCTGAAATGACTTTTATTCACTCATGTATTTTTTTTGCCATAGGTCAAGTTACAATTACAGAATCTTATAAATCGTTGCCTTTTTTTTTTCGTTGCCTTTTTTTTTTCTTTTGGTTTGGCTTCTCTTTGAGCTAAGCCAAATTAATTTTCTAAAAAGCATCACTAACCACAAACAGACGGATGTGGGGTCATCAAATGAGAGTAGCGCTCGAGGCTCTCAAATTATCCTTGTGATACCCAAGGTCAGGTAATCTCTTAACTAAACCAATGTAACAGTTTATCTTTAATGCCCGATTTTTCTTTTTAAAGAAAAAAATCATTCCCTGGAGGAATTTTGATGGATGACGCTACGCTGAGGTGCCACGATGTTGTTCCTGGTGGGATTATTTCATTACATATCTGGCATTATGATGGATGGACGGAACTGGTTTTGGCGGCTGTGGAAGGGGATTCCAGTAAGGTGTTTTCATGCTTCTTTAAATGGATATTATACTTCATGAACCAGCTGTAAATTGTGTGTGTGTGTAGGGGGGGGATTCACTTAGTCTTTAATATGAATATTTGGGTAAAAGTTTCAGAGTAGAGGGAAAAGATAACAAGGACTCATGTCATCATGATCAAGTCGAGTGTTGCCATTTGCCGTTTGGCTTTTGCGATTTCACTGCGTCCACGTAGCTGTGACTTGTAACCCACTCACCGTGCCCCAAAAGGACCCAGGGCAGCACGTTTTCTATTCACGTGTCTACTCTGTAAAGTTGAAAACCTAAGTTAACAGTGGAGAATGCCAGATCACTTGGAAACGTGTGGCCCAGAGTGTTCAATGCTGCAAAAAATCCTCTGGGGGGGTCTGCTCTCACCCAAGGGGGAGAGACTTGGAAACACAGTGGGTGCCGTTAACTCTTGGCCAGGGCTTGAGCTGGGTGCTCAGCTGGGCTCTGGGGTGGGAGTTGGGAGGCAAGAGGAGGAAATCAGGGTGTCTACCCAGCAGTGAAGATGAATCATTCAGACACAAGGGGACAAGTGCGCGTTCTTTCTGGAAAATAAATTCGGATGAGAAGCTATGAGCTTGTGGAGGAGAGAGAGTTTACTTCTGGCTGGGATGGGGGTCAGGGAAGGCTGGGTGCGGGAGGGGCACTGGGATTAGGTCTGGGAAGGGGGAGTGGGCTCGGGGGAGGGGGGGCCAGGACCTGCTGCCCTGGAGCCTGAGCCTTAGAAGGAAGGGTGGGGCCCTTCCTTGCGTAATCCTCTGGTTCCTTCCTGCTTTTCTCCTCTTCCCCTGCCTTCCCTTGCTTCCCCCTCTGGCTCTGTGTCCGTGCCTAGACTTTCTGGCTCTTGCTCTGGACATGGGTGATGGGTGAGTCCCTCCTCTCTTGAGCCAGAATTGCTGTCACCCCGCTGGGGGCCCCTCACATCCCGCTTCGCCCCACACCGGATGCTGCACATCTGCGACCGGGTTCCTATCTGTCAGAGCCCGTCTGTAGTCCGTAGTCGTCCTCCTGTGCTCAGAGCCTTAATTCTCCACGTGATGATTATATCCCGGGGCTGTTATTCACCTGGGAGCAGAGTTCAGAGTGTCCCAAAAGTTAATGGAGACAATGGGCCCAAAAATAGACCGGAAGGCCAGGATCCATCACATCTCCAGAGACGCCTGTGCCCCTCTGGGGAGGCCGTGCCGTGTCGGCTGGGGTCTTCCTTCAGAGCCGTAACCCCCTTCCTCTGGACACCCAGAAAAGCTATTTTCTCTCTTCAAAACATGGACAGGAAGAATTTCCTGCCTCCCGAGCCTGGCTGATGGTAAATTCGTATTTCCTGGACGTGTAGAGAGAGTTACGTGTCTTCCCCTGGCTCGTTTCCAGCTCCTCTCTGATCCCATCACCAGCCTGCGTGTGGCATCCAAGCAAACTTTTCCTCCAGTGTCCCATCACCCACCAGCCAGGGGCATCTGCACTTCTGAACTCACCCAGACGCACGTGCGTGACTCTGTTTACCTCGCCCAGCTGTCTTGCCTCGGTGTTGCAGAAGATGCTTTCCACCGAACAACAGATTCGCAGCATTTTGATGACAAGCAGTGGAAGAAGTGGATTTCTCAGAGAGCGTGCATGGCGCTGTATGTTGCCTCACACAGGGGTCGCTCGGAGGCTGTTCAGTACCTTCTAGAACACGGTAATTCTGATAGCAGCCGAGGACATTCAAGAGTGGGGTTCTTTTGAGGGCAAGGGGGACACAGCGGCTTGCCTCCTGGTCCCTTCAGTAATGGTTTCCTGGACCCAAGTTTGTCAGCCACCAATGGAGGTCCCCATCGGGCCACTCAGTCCCTGTCTGAGGGGGTCTTTGGACGTGCTTATCGGAGGCTGTGTCCTCTCTCTTGCCAGGGGCTCAGGAAGACGGACCTTTCAGGACACCAAGCCACGGGGCTTCCTGGTTTATTGCGTCCGACCAGACACTCCGCTGGGGATATTCCCATCCTGTTTGTTATTTCTTCCCACCCGAAGTCCCGTTTCTGCAGTGGTCCGAGGGGTCTAGCCCCAAACCAGCATCCCTGCCTTGGTGGTTAGCAGGCTAGCCAGTCTCCTTTCTCCAAGTCTTTGAATTTGCCCCAAACCCTCTTTTCATCTCTCCTCCACCGAAGGGCAATTACTCTCACTCTCTCTCTGTCCATAGACATAGAAGCCTTAGCCTGCCTTGTCTCCGAGTTAAAGGGCTTTGCATGAGGTTCTGTGGGAGTACATTTTATCTTCCCTGGATATAGGGTATTTTTGGGAAAGGAGGCCCACGGATTGAGGTGTAGGCCATTCACCAACAGTAGACGGTTGCAGACATCCCAGGCCACTGGCTTCCTCGGGAAAAAGGAAGAATGTGGTATTTGGTCAATGGTTTGGGGCTCAGGAGGGGGCCTCATCTGAGGGTTTCCCATATCAACTAGCCTCCAAGTTAGACCTCCTTCCCAGCCTTCGGCCTTGAGCCCAGGCTCTCTGTGTTGTTTCCCCCACTTCCACCAACCAAGCTGGGAAAGCATCTCAGATGCTCAGACAGGATGCTGGGGCCCCACGTCTGTGATGGGTAGAGGTTTTTCTGACTCTTCTCCTCTCCTTCCTCCACTGTTTTCTGCACTTCTCCTGTTGTAAGATGAAATATGGGCTTTTCACAACCCAGCAGTCCGTTAAGCTCATAAAAAGTCATTTTCCCTCTGATGGAACTGTGATGTATTTGAAAGCACCAGTTAAAAAATTACAGCCAGCTTTGCAAAGTTTTCTGTCCTTTGCAGACAGTGGCTCTGAAGAGGCGCCAGGGCTGAGGCTAAGTGTTGTGAAAACCTATTTAAAACTACCTCACTGACCAGCCATAGCTCATAAACACTGGCTCCCGAAATGTCAACTGCATGTAATTGAATTGCCTTGTTTTCTGTGTCATGATATCTGTTACCCACTATTTGATTCAATTCAACAAGTCCGTATGGGACACCTGTCATTAGCCCATCCATCTGCAGGAGGCAGTGAGGAATTCAGCTGAAGTGAAGTCTGTCCATGAGTCAGGCTGCCCATCATCTGTCATTTCCCAGGCACCTGTCTTCTCCAGGCATCATGCTACGTGCCGGGGATGAAAACAGCCGTGATCAAAACAAGTGTGTTTTCTGCCCTTGTGGAGTTTATGAAGGGAAGTCAGCAAATTATTACAAATAATTAATTCCATGGTCAGTCGTGCGTGGTGTGTTCTGGAGATGCAGAATGTCTGCTGAACAAATGCAGGGGGTTTTGTGGGGAGGAGGGCTAAGGAAGGTTTTCCCGAGGAAGTGAATGAAACCTTAAGAAACATAGAGTTAGCCCAGGAGAAAAAAAAAAAAGGATGAGAGTGTTGTTAGCAAAGGGAATGGCATATGCAAAGATCCTGGGGCAGGATAAGGGAGCAGGTATACTGACGGGATAAAGCCAGAAGGCTGGTGTAAGCGGAGCATGGGCGGGCGAGGAAGATCACGGAGGCGAGTAATGCTGGAGTGATAAGGGGGGTGGGTGGGTGAGACAGAGCAGTAAAGACCTAGAACATCGCCCCAAGGGTGGTAGATGCCAACAATGGGATTTGAGCGGGAGAGTGGTACAGGCATTGCAGGAAGGTCATTGGCTGCTGTAAGAGAAGCATGGGGTGGGGGGGAAGGCAGTGCTGGATGCTGGGTGGGAGGGGGCAGCAGTGCCCCCCTCCGTGCACTCGGTTATTCGTTCTTCCAAGCATTCCTCTCCCAGCCTCGGCCCTTCCCATGCTTCTCTTCTTGAACGGGTTTCCAGAGGGTTGGCTCCTGCTGGCAGGGGGCCCTCCCTCAGCCAACTTTCTTATTTCCCAGGTGCCAACTGTCAGGGCAGATACCCCGTGGGCAGGACGCCCCTGCACGTGGCTGCAGCCATGAGCCGGCTGGACTGTATCAGCCTCCAGCTCAACTATGAGGCCTCCATCAACGACAGAGATACCAAGGGGGAGACGCCCATGTCCCTCGCCTGCCGCCTGAACCGCAGCTAGAGCAGGCGGTGGATGTTCCTCTTCTACTGGATGGTGAAGCTGGGGACAAAGGACCCGATGGACCCTGTCGTGAACAAGGCTTTTCAGAGAGTCAAGGCCGGGTTTGGATCCAAGAAGGAGAACAAAACGTAGCTCCACCTGGGAATGTTTGCATGTCAGCTCTGACGTGGGGTAACGTTCCTGAGTTCAGATCCACGGTGGCCAGTGGCTCTGGGTTAGCAGGAAGGCCGGGAAACGTGGCAGTTCCTCTGAATCAGATACGAAACCATCTGTCCTATTTGCAAATGACTTGAGGAGGGTATTGATGGAAGTGGGTGAGTTTGTGTTCATTTCCTAAATCCATCACAGACCTAATGGGCTCCCATGCCAGCCTTTAATTTTGAGCTATTTGTTCATTGTATCCAGTAACGCTGCTTGGGGTGATGGGAACCAATTACCTTCTCTCCGGTCTGGACACCATCTAACACATTGGCATAATAGGGGTAATAGCCGTGATGAGAGTAGCTCTGTTGTTACGGTACAAAACCAGCGCAGGCAAACGTCACCAGGTCGTGGGCAGTGTGACCTGTGAATTTCAGTTTGTAAAATTCATGGCACTAGATGCTCCCTAAGCCAGCAATGTTCCGGAAGTTTTCCTGAACCTTCCTGGAGGGGTCTGCTGCCTGAGTCTGAGGTGGGGCTGGGGGGAGAAGCCAGGCTGACCTGGGGGGCATCTAAGAGCTTGGTTCTCCACAGGGGCGCCTGGTTACTCTTGGTGAAAGGTGATAAGCTGGCCCTGGATTTGGAGGAGACGGTGTGAAAGGTGGTGAGCTCGTAAGGGAGAGGATTCGAGCTGGGAGCTGCTTTTTTCCTTTTGTCCCATCCCCAGAGGTCCAAGCACCCCCCTCCCGCTAGCTTTCTCCTTTCCTGCTAGAACTGGGGTAGCTCCAGCATCCCTACTGTGGGGCAGTGCCTATGCTGAACTCTGGGCTCGACACCCACAAAAGCTGCCCTGTGGGTGTGGGAGCCGAGAGGGAGGGCTGAAGGCTGGGGCGGACTGACACGCACACCCTTGTCTGAGGGGGGCACCGTGACTCAGCTGCAGCAGAAAGGCGAGCCAAAGGCAGCTAGATCTTTGCAGAGCTTCCCAGAGCTGGAAACCTGGCTTGTTGATCTAAGCCCTGATTTTTCTTTCTTTCTTTTTTTTTTTTTTTTTTGTGGTACGCGGGCCTCTCACTGCTGTGGCCTCCGGACAGGCTCCGGACGTGCAGGCTCAGCGGCCATGGCTCACGGGCCCAGCTGCTCCGCGGCATGTGGGATCTTCCCGGACCGGGGCACGAACCCGTGTCCCCTGCATCGGCAGGCGGACTCTCAACCACTGTGCCACCACGGAAGCCCTAAGTCCTGATTTTTAAGCGTTGGCTTGAATTATGTTAAGGTCGGCGTACGGAACAAAAGAAGTAGGAGATTTGAGGCCATGGCTGGGAGTGCCGACCATCATCAAAGTAACTCATTTCACTGGGGAAACGGGTAGAAGCAACCTAAGACTCACTGGAACTTTCCACGGCTCTGAAGCCACAGGGCGGGAATGGCCATGAGTGTTGCCGGGTGGGAAGTGTTGTCCACCCTTCCACCCGTGGCCACACATGTTTCTCTGAAGCCCTATATCCTGACACAGCTTCCGGAGTCAGTCTGTGTGGCAACAGTCTCTCGACCGTCGAAGTTCTGTTTTTTAAGGTGCTGGAAAATGGCCCTGTATCCCAGCCGCCCTTCTTTCTGACTTATATCCCAAGAACTGGATTCCACTTTTACATTAATTGGCCGCATTTCCCGCTGTCGTGGCAAGTAAGAGCCATGCTGGTGACGTGGCTTTACACTCAGTGGACGTGGCTGGACCCAGCTCAGCGATCTGTTTGACAAATAATCAGGAAAAAAACATACAGCTCAGCATCAACGATATCAAAACTGAGATCTTGTTTGCGGCAGACGTTCTCCAAAGTCAATAGGCAGATATTAAATAACCTTATCCAGCAGGGTCAATTCATTTAGCTAATGAGGTGTGTTGGCAGGGGGACCTGGGCACCCTTTTAACTTAACAAGTGGTGTGACTCAGAGTCATGTGTTTTCCAGGAGCTTTGCTCTGCTGTCTGTATTGTTAGCAGAGCCAGCTGCCTGACATTTGTCCCCCAAACTTTGGAGGGAAGCCCTCTGTCTTTGTCACCCCTAATTCAGCTAAACACTTGGCCGGCAATTGGGTGAGTTCCAAACTCTCCGTGGTGACATTTTGCTCGGTCTGTGGCAGGGTCATTGAAACAGTCCTGTAGGTCCTGGGGGCTCTTCCTTTTAGACGATCTTAACATTCTAGCTGTTATATTCAAACAAGCCTGTATCACCTATTCAATAAAATATGTCCATAGCCTCAGAAGAGTTGATTTGCAATTGGTTGCCATCATCTTACACTTTGCAGAAAATTTCATTCAACATTTGAAGTTTTTGGGGATCATGCTTTGGAGCCAACAGACATGTTTTTTTTTTTAATTGGGGTAGAGTTGTTTTACAATGTTGTTTTAGTTTCTGCTGTACAGCAAAGTGGAGTTCCCTGTGCTATACAGCAGGTTCTCATGAATTGTGTATTTTATACATATTAGTGTCCATTTTTTTTTAAAGGGGTTGATCTCAAACGGTTTTGTAGGACCCTGAAATCCTTTTAGGCCCGAGGTATTGGGGATGGTCTTTTGTGGTGAAGCAGCGGTGGTCTGCCATCACCCAGGTGGCCCTCACCTCTGTGTGGAGACGGACAGGCTTCCTCTCGGAAAGGAGCTACTGTCAGTTGTCTGAGTATAATATCCATTGCCCTCCTCCTTATTGTGTGTCTCCCATGAAGCTGGACTCTCAGTTGCCAGCGTGGAATTGCTACTGGAGTAGTGTGGACACACAGGGCTTGGACCCCAGATTGCATCTTGGTGGCTCTGCCCTGTGGCCTTGGGCACGTTCCCTACTGCTCTGAGGTACAGGAGGTTGGAGGGTGGTCATGGGGCCTGGTCCCTAAGGTTGTTGGGAGGGCCTGGGAGGTAGGAGGTACTCAGTACATGCTAGCTCTTCTCGTCTGAGAGCTGGACTGAAGACTCCTTCTGAAGTCATGGGCTCAATTGTTGATGATCGACGGGGGTTGGGGGCAAATAGGAGAACCATTTGGTGCCTTCCTTGGGTTCTCAAGTTCTGATCACCTTGAGACTGATGACCTCTGAGCTCAGTGCCCCCGGGAAAGTGCTGTCCAGCGTCCTTGGATTTCTTGGCGGCCAGGTGAAGAAGGATCCCTCAGCATCCCCTCCGTCAGGGACACTGCTCACCAGTGTGCCTTATGTCAGCCTGGAAAACAGCCCTTGGGAACTGGGGAGCCCCTCTGGAGAGGCCGACCGCTTGCTCAAGGAAGACGGTGACAGCTGCACCGCCACCGTGCTTCCAACTGCCTTGGCTGTCCCTCCGGACCCCTGGCTGCCTGGGGTCTCTCAGCTCTGCCCAGGGCTTGGGTGCATGGCCGTCTCTCTCCAAAGACTCATCCGGGGGGGTGTCAGCTGCACTGAGTCCTTCCTCCATCTCGGGCCTGAACGCTCCCTTCTCTGAAGCATAGTCACCAACCAGACTTTCCCGGGGAGGCGAAGGGCACCCACTGGTGGCACCTCAGGGAACTTTAGTTGACCCTGACGCTGCAGTAGGTGCCACTGAAACATAGGGTGAGAGTTATTCCCTTTTCACATCGCTCTCAATCCTTTTAATTCCGACAAGAGGAAAGTCTCCGCTTGGTGTCAGTAAGTCAGACTCCCCCCTGACCTTTGCGAAAAGGGAGCTTTTATAAGTACACAAATAGAGCAGCCTTCCGCAGGCAGCAGTGTTTTGCCAGGATTTAATAACATCGTCTTGTTTTCGGTATATTTGTGGGCTGGGATTCTTTTCCTTTTTCCACTCCTAACCAGTATGTGACCTCGGGGCAAACTGTCGCCTCCACAGGGACCCCCATCATCTCCCTCGCAGCCCAGTTGCGATGAGCAATGGGAACTGTCCTCGGGAAGGGCCCGGGCTTGGCGTCCAGCAGATCCCACTTAGAATTTTCCTCCCCTGCTGGCTGGGTGGCGTCGGGCCAAGCAATTGCATCTCTCAGAGCCTCAGTTTCTTCGTCTGTAACATTCGGGTAATAAAATCTGCCCCTGTCATCATGGGAGGGATGAAATGCCTGGCACAGAGCAGACTCTTGAAAGATAGTATCCATTATTATTATTATTACTACCACCAATTAATTTGCTTAAAATGTTTACTCACTGGGAATCAATACACTCCCGGCGTCCAGAGAGCCTTATGAATTTTCAGCAAACCTTATACAATGAGGGTCCCCGTCCAGCACTGATCATTCCTAGAGTGGGAGATAAATAATGTCCCTGAAACTTGCGGATTTTAGTATTAAGTACAGGGTCCAGAAAGTCGTTCTGAACTTAAAAATCCAGGGCCAGTTCTGCAGGAAAGAGAGAGAGAGAGAAAAGGAAAACAAAAGCTCTAAGGTGAGAGGAAAATTCCAGTCTCTCAGCTCTGCCTCTGCAGTGCGTACTGACTACACCAGCATCCAGCGGAGGGCACAGAAACCCATTAACATTTAGAAAAACACCCGCTGTTTGTGCTCGCCGGAAATGTCAGAGCTGCGGCAGTCTGCGCCCCACTGGAAACTCAAGAGTGGGGCTCAGCCACGGGGGCTCCCGGACAGCTTCTGTGCCTCAACCCCCGAAATTGTCCACAAAACACACATTTTTCTGGGGAGAACGTTCATCATGTCCTGTGAGGGTCCGTGGATCCCCCAAACCTGGGCACGTAACGGGGAGGCCAACCTCCCCAGCTGTCAAATCAAATCGATGCAATTCAATATCCCCTTCCTACCCCTTGGGTGGGTGTGCATTGTCAATATGCGATTGGAAAAAATGATACATACTGATAACACCTGGTGCTGATGTGCGTGTATGCGTGTGTACACGGGTGCCTGGGACACGGCTCTCTCTAGTGCTGTGGAGGGGAGCTTGTAGAGTCCTGTAGCCTTGCCGGACTTCGATCGGACAGGAGGTGTTCAGAAGGCCCTGCTACCCCCCTTTGTAAGTCCGTCCCACGGAGATGAAGCCCCACTCCGTGATGGTGCGCGTGTGCGAGTGCGTGGCAACTGCTTCTGGTGGCGAGTGCCTGGAAACACTCCAGAGGCCCACCGCTGGGAAAGGTGGTGGCACGTTTTGCAGCTATTAAAAAAAACGACTTGATCTGTATGTCCAGGCCAAGGGACAGCCGCGAGGGGTGTCTGTGATGTGTCGTTAAGTGACACACAGCGCGTTGCCTAGGAGATGCGCACGAGCTCATGGAGTCACAGTTCTAAAAAGGAGGCAAATCTAATACATGTGCGCATAAGCCCATTCTTACTTGAGCAAAAGAAGAGTCATGTCAAAGATGCTTAAACGCTTAACATTGCTCACTTTGGGGCCGCGGGGTTGCTCTACACAGCTCTGAATTATCGCAGCCGGCCTGTCTTTTCTTTCTTTTTTTTATGGTGGTAAAACACACATAACAAAATTGGCCGTTAATGACACTTAGTGCATTCACGGTGTTGTGTAACCATCACTCCCATCTAGTTCCAGAACATTTTCATCACCCTAGAAAGAAACCCTGGACCCAGTAACAGTCCCCCTGACCTTCTCCCTCCCCCCCAGCCCTAGACAACCACCAACCAATCCACTTTCTGTCTCTGTGGATTTGCCCCTTTCTGGATACTTCACCTAAGTGGAACCGTACAATATGTGGCCTTAGGTATCGGCTCCTTAGTGTGATGTTTTCCGCGTTCAGCCACGTGGTGGCGTGTGTCAGCGCTTCGTTCGTTTTTATGGCTGAAGGATATTCCATCGCTTGTCCATTTGTCAGTCGATGGACATTTGGATTGTTTCCGCCTTTTGACCATTGTGAATAATGCTGCTATGAACGTGGGTGTATAAGATTTGTCTGAATACTTGTTTCTTTTGAGAACATACCCAGGAGGGGAGTCCCTGGGTCATAAAGCAATTCTGTGTTTAGCAGCATGTCCTACATTTGTAACTAAAAAAATAGGAAAAAGGAAAAGAAGCGAACCCACCTCCCACCTGAGCTCTC